CCCATTTTTTCCCATTTTTTTTCCCTTTCCCAACCCAAACCCCATTTGCAATCATTACCATTTTCCCTTTTTTTTCCCATTTTTTCCCATTTTTTCCCATTTTTTCCCATTTTTTTCCCACTTCTTTTGTTTCCCTGTACAAACCCATTTGAACTCATTCCCATTCCCATTTTTTTTTCCTTTCCCGCAGGATTACTGTGCCACCAGGTGGGCGGTGCTGCGGGAACGCTTTGACCGCGGTCTCTACGCCTCCCACGCCGACCTGCACCGCCTCAAGTCAGTGTTTGCTGCTCCCGGGAGGGGGAAAATCCGGGAAAAATCCCAAAATTCCCTGTTTGAATGTGGATGAATGCTGAGCGGAGCTGATCCTGTTCTGACTGATTGATCCCATTGTCCTGATTGATCCCAATGTTCGGATTGATCCCAGTGTCCCTGATCCCATTCTCCCTGATCCCAATGTCTCTCACCAATCCCATTGTCCCTGATCCCACTGTCCCTGGCTGATCCCATTCTCCCTGATCCCATTGTCCCTGATTGATCCCATTCTGACTGATTGATCCCAATGTCTCTGATTGATCCCACTGTCCCTGATTGATCCCATTTTCCTGACTGATCCCATTGTCCCTGATCCCATTGTCCCTGATCCCAATGTCCCTGACTGATCCCATTTTCCTGACTGATCCCATTCTCTCTGACTGATCCCACTGTTCCTAAAAGATTCATTTCATGGAGTTGTTAGAAGTGGGAAAAACACTCAGAAAACTCCCAAAAATTTGGTGTTTGACTGAGCTCTGATGGGGCTGAATGCTGAGCGGAGCTGATCCCGTTCCCCCTGGCTGATCCTGTTCTGACTGATTGATCCCATTCACCCTGATCCTATTGTGCCTGGCTGATCCCATTCTTCCTGATCCCAATATCCCTGGCAAATCCCAGTCTCTCTGATCCCATTGTCCCTGGCTGATCCCATTCTGCCTGATTGATCCCAATGTCTCTGATTGATCCCATTCACCCTGATCCCAATATCCCTGACAAATCCCACTCTCCCTGATCCCACTCTCCCTGGCTGATCCCATTCTGACTGATTGATCCCACTGTCCCTGATTGATCCCACTGTCCCTGATTGATCCCATTGTCTCTGATTGATCCCAATGTCCCTGATGGATCCCAGTCTTCCTGATCCCAATGTTCCTGACTGATCCCATTCCCCTGATGGATCCCTGTCCCCAATCCTATTCCCTTGACCGATCCCATTCTCCCTGACCTCATTCTCCTGTCCCCTAACCCATTTTCTCTGACCAATCCCATCCCCTGATCTTGATCCCATTCCCCTGTCCCCGATTCCTGTCCCCGATCCCACTCTCCCCGATCCCATTCCCCTGACAGATCCCTATCCCCAGTCCCTCTCCCCAATCCCTGTTCCCCAATCCCATTCTCCCCAGTCGCATCCCCTGATCCCAATCCCACTCTCCCCAATCCCATCCCCTGATCCCAATCCCATCCCCTGATCCCAATCCCATTCCCTTGTCCCCAATCCCACTCTCCCCAATCCCATCCCCTGATCCCAGTCCCATCCCCTGATCCCAATCCCACTCTCTCCAGGTACCAGTGTTTCAAGTCCGCCTGGATGTTCGAGGTTTTCCACCGGGGTTTCTCGTTCCCCGAGAGCTACGGGAGCCTCAAGACGGCGCTGCAGGTSTACGACAAGGAGGTGCAGTGGACATTGGGGGCCATCCTATACCGGACCCGCTTCCTGCCCCTCAGGTGCGCCCCAAAACCCGGGGAGCCCTGCGAGGGGTTTGGGGTGGGGTTAAACCTGCGGGGTTGGGGTTTTATCCCCCAAAATGCTGAGCGGAGATGAGTTTATCCCGTTCTCCCTGACTGATCCCATTGTCCCTGAAACCACTGTCCCTGATCCCATTGTTCCTGATCCCATTCTCCCTGATCCCCTTGTCCCTGACTGATCCCATTGTTCCTGATCCCATTCTCCCTGACTGATCCTATTGTCCCTGATCCCATTGTTCCTAATCCCATTTTCCCTGATCCCATTGTCCCTGATCCCATTCTCTCTGACTGATCCCATTGTTCCTGATCTCATTCTCCCTGATCCCATTGTCCCTGATCCCATTCTCCCTGATCCCATTCTCCCTGACTGATCCCATTCTTCCTGATCCCACTGTCCCTGACTGATCCCAATGTCCTTGACTGACCCCCCTCTCCCTAATCCTAATATCCCTCCCTGATCCCAGTCTCTCTGACCCCATTCTCCCTGACTGATCCCATTGTCCCTGACTGATCCCGCTGTTCCTAAATGATTCATTTCATGGGGGAAAAAACCTTGGGAAAGCTGGGAATTGTGTGTTTAATTGGGAATTGTGTTTTTAATTGTGTCCCACAGTCACTGTAATGCTGAGCTGAGCTGATCCCAATGACCCTGACTGATCCCACTCTCCCTAATCCCATTCTCTCTCCCTGACCCCATTCTCCCTGACTGACCCCACTCTCCGTCCCTGATCCCATTCTCCCTGATCCCCAATTTCCCAATCCCCTTCCCAACACCGCAATCCCCTCCCACCCTCACCCTTGTCCCTGTCTGACCCCATTCTCCCTAATCCCAAATCCCTCCCTGATCCCATTATCCCTGATCCCAATGTCCTTTCCTGACCCCACTCTTCCTGATCCCAAATCCCTCCCTGACCCCATTTTCCCTGACCCCCAATCCCCTCCCACCCTCACCCTCTTTCCCTGATTGACCCCTCTCTCCCTGATCCCAAATCCCTGATCCCAATCTCCCTCCCTGATCCCACTCTCCCTGACCCCAAATCCCTCCCTGATCCCGTTCTCTCTGATCCCAATGTCCTTTCTTGATCCCACTCTCTCTGATCCCGCTCTCCCTGACTGATCCCACTCTCCCTGATCCCAGATCCCTCCCTGATCCCACTCTCCCTGACCCCAAATCCCTCCCTGATCCCGTTCTCTCTGATTCCATTTTTCCTAATTGACCCCACTCTGCCTGATCCCAAATCCCTCCCTGACCCCATTTTCCCATCACCCCAATCCCCCCAGTCCTCACCCATTTCCCCTGTTCCCTCCAGGGACATCCAGCAGGACAATTTCCGCGGGATCCACTCCCGCTGGCGGAGCTTTTCCTTCGTCTACAACCATTTCCTGTTTTTGGGATGTTTTGGGGTTGTTCTGCTCTCCATCCTGCTCTACCTGCTCCGCCTGCGCCGCATCCATCGCCGCCTCTTCCACCCGGGATCGGCCCCATCCCTCTGGATCCACGAGGGGCTCCCCCAAAAAAACCCCCAAAAAACCCCAAACCCGCTCTGAGCTTCGCCTCGGGGAGGGGGATCCGCCCAGGACTCGTTACAGAAATCATAAAAAAAACCCCAAAAAAACAAACAAACAGACAAAAAAAAAACGACAAAAAAAAGCCATTTTTGCCTCAGGGTTGTTCATTTTTGGTTTTTTTGGTTTTGTTGGGTTGGAGAAGAAGAGAGCGCCCGAAAATCCAGGAAAAAATGGACGGAAACGCCAAAAAATGAGTTTTTGTTGGGAATTGTTGAGTTTGGAGGTGCGGGAGAGGATGAGCGTGAATCTCCCTGGGAAACCGTGAGAAGAGCGAGAATTCCCTGGAATTTTAACGGAATTTTATCCCTGCGACGAGCGAGAATTCCGTGGAATTTTAATGGAATTTTAACTCTGCGAAGAGCGAGAATTCCGTGGAATTTTAACGGAATTTTAACCCTGCGACGAGCAAGAATTCCATGGAATTTTATCCCTGCGACGAGCGAGAATTCCGTGGAATTTTAACCCCGCAAAGAGCAAGAATTCCATGGAATTTTAATGGAATTTTAACCCTGTGAAGAGCGAGAATTCCGTGGAATTTTAATCCTGCGACGAGCGAGAATTCCATGGAATTTTTATCCCTACTCAGCTCAGACTCTCAGCCAAAAAATGGGAATGGGAGAGCGCCAAAAACAGGAAAAAAAATCAATTTTTGGACGCTCGACTGCGGGAGACTCCGGGAATGTGAAAAAAAACTGGAAAAGCAGAGCAGAGCGTGCACAGAGTCCTCTGTTAATTTATATTTTATTTAAAAAATGTTGATTTTGACTYGAAAGTCGATTTGTCCGTGATTAAAGGTGGGATTTGTATGAATCTGTGGGGTGCGG